AGGCAAATGAACGACGAGATGAGGAAAATGACGCTGCAGCTAGGCCCGGTGCAATATGTGGGCCAGACAACAATAATTGTTTGGCGTTTCCTGGTATATTACACCGCGTCTAATTGATAGAAAGAAGCCGCTAATTCTGATGCTATTATCGTGCTATCTTTAGCAGAGACTCCGTTCACTCACTTGCCGGGTGTGTATTTTCGTACGAGAACATCCCCGGAAGCTTTCGCTTTGTGTTTAATTCACAATTGAAGTCATCCACCTCGTTAAAACAAAGCAAAAGGCTATTTCAGTTCCACACAAGTGTAATTTAAATAGTCATAATGTGAAAGAGATTATTAAAAACACACACACACACACACACACACACACACACACACACACACACACAATCGCGCGGTAATAATTATTTATTCATATATGTAATTGGTTATTAAGATATTAACTAGTTTTGCATTCTTATTTTAAATTTTCTGAGTTTCATTTATTTAATTTTCACAATAAATTTACTTGCTAAATTTTATTATCTTGTACAATCATGAGAGAATGTAATTATATATTGAGAAAACAAGTTAAAACGAGAGAATAAGAAAATAAGAATTAACTTTAGCAGAGAGATTGTGCGCGTTTTTATATCTTTTTGCAAAGACTAAAAAATAAAGCAGCATATAATAAATATTAAGTAGAAATAGTCTATGATGAAAAATGTCTGCAATCACAAATATGACAGCATCGGCATTAATAATTATCTCATTAAGAGGAATGTTCATTAATTCGAACGAGTCATTTCCTTCGACGTCAAGGATTCCTCGGTTAATCTTGATTCACAAAGTAGCATAGATCAATCGCGTATCGATTCTGCCAGATTGCTACATATCGGCCATGGTAATCGATTTTTACTATCAAGATACTGTAATAAAGATCGTCGATGTATGTCAATTATTTCGTTATCCTTCTTTTGTTAAACGCGGTTATCCTTATTATCAGTTCGATGTATCGATTTCTATACGAGATTCTTGCGAAACATTTTGATGGAGGTCAGTCTATATTTTCCGGAGGATCTTATAATAAGATCTTTTCAATGCTAATCTCGTATTCAGGACTAACTAAAGCCACGTGTCACCCACCAACGGCGGGTTAATGGCGCGTTCATGAATCGCGTGACGGCATTGTGTGTTACGCGGCTTTAATTATGTCACGTGTACGCGATAATGCACTACATTGATATTAAACAACTGAAAGCTAAAAGATGAAATTGCACAATAATGCATAAAAGAACTATTTTGCAAATCGCAAATTGCAATATTACATACGCTATAAATATCGTACAATGATTTATGATTCCCTGAAAGCACATATTATTGCGGACATCGTTTATCTCTTTGTTTTTGTAACTTTCCATTAATTAATATAAACATATTAATCTTTTCGCACTTTGTGTCGGCATCATAGCGTTCACCGCAGCCGCTGGTAGAGAGAGCCAACTCCTTCTCGCTAACCATCGAAATTCGCGGCGACTCTCGGCAAACACAGTCGGCAAATTTGGTGTGGCGATTCAGAAGTTCGCACCTAAAATTCCGTCTGTTCTAATCCGTCGTGTGCCGTTGTTCGGTCAATAGAAGATCCTGTCCCGGCGATGTTCGCATAACGGTAACCGGCGGCCGCGACGGGCCGGACTTCTCGCAATCGCGTCGCGACGCCTGCTGGTTCATGTAGTACCTGTATTCGCGCGCGAGTATACCTGCGTATTCAATCGACGGTCGTACGTGCTGATGATACGTACGCCGTGTGTTACGTCGGCGTATTGATGTAGCCGGCGATACGTGCGTTGAGTGTTGTTCCTGTATGTACGTATCTCGATGTGCGGTGACGCGCGCCGAATGCCAATTGCCGTACAAAACGGTTCGATACGCGGATTATGTGTGCGAATTTCTTCCTTCAACGTCAAGCATCGATCGAAGGCGGACGCTCAGACTGCCGCCTTCGTTTCCTGATGACGCTCGAGGAATTTACGAGCTCGAATCCCTATGAAAGTTTCTCTTGACGCCTTGATGAACTCGGCGAAAATAAAGAACATGTAGATTTAAAATTGTTGTCCTACGACAAAAGAAATAAAAAAATAATAATATGATGGAATCGAGAAATATACAATGGGGAAAGGTAGACTCTGCAACGCGTTTTTAAGTAAATTGTTTTCACATGAAGAGTTATCCAGCCCAAAATTATGTTAAAATTGTTATTGATTATATTTTTTATTATGTAATCGCATAATGAAAGCTTTTTTGCGGTAAAGTTTGCAAAAATGCGATTTGGTTGAGAACAACGTGGAGCTAGGCTTTTATAATCCGAGGCATCCTTGAATTTGGGCGTGTCCGTTCTCGTAGCGAAGTTTCTGCGTAGTTCTACTGGTTTGACTCCCACCCGTCCTAAATGTCCAATCGCCGGCGACTTTTTTTAAAATCTCTAGTTTTTTAGGGACCGCCCGAGATAAAGGGTCGACTCGGAGGTGGAGATGTGGAACCGTCTACCTTTGTCCGTAAAGTTAATTACTGCTCGTTCTTCGTGATACAGCTTTTATAATTAATACAGTTAACGTAAATTGCATTTATGGCGAAAACTATTATTGAGGAATATGCAATTTGCGATGTGTCACTTAAATTTAATATTTATCATTTGATATCTATTGAATATTTGTGGATTTTTCTACCATATTTGACTTTGTCACTTTGATCAGGTTTCTCGACAGTACGACAGTACGGAAATCTTGTCAGGTGAGAGTATCTTTAGACAGTGAGGACACTTTTTGCGGTCAACCGAGAAATGCTGCAAAGGACAATATCGGTGATTACCGCGCAGCCGATTAAGAGAGAAAACGAAATTAAATTTCATGTTGCGTTATCGGAAGCAATTCGATCATTCGCGCACAGAAAATTACTTCATTTCCTTGTATTTTCTAAGATTTGTTTTTCTAAGTTATTACTTTTGTTTATTTTACATACCGCTTGCATCTTAACATGATAATCGCCTTGAAAGTTTTACTTATTTTAGGAAATTTAATAGAAATTTATGACTATTAAAATAACAATCGTTTGCACACTGTAATGCAATATTGCACGATTGTGATTATAATAATTTTGCATAAAGGATCTTTTTAATTCGACCAACTAATTTTCCATCAAAAGAATAAGGTGCTAATTTCTGCGTCACACGTAAATCTTTATTAACCGGCAAATGTATGGTGAGCCGCACACCAAAGTCCAGACAGGATACGAAGGATTGAGTCTCGTTAGTCCCCAATCGCCAAATCGGAGCTGACGATTTCGGTGCCTCGTGACGCTCGTTCTATCTTGACGACTTGATGTTTAGCTGGTCGATGTTTAGATTTTAATAGACGAATGAGAAAATGAGTTTAAAAATATTAATCATTCATTCAGTAATTTAGCTTTTATTAGTTTGATAAAACGTAGGCGCAACAAGATAAATTACCAAAATCTTTTAACATTACATAACACACAAATTTGCGATTCCGACGAGAGTATTATTGATACTTTCGGCAAAAAGTGAATTGTTTGGTTTCCAAATCGACTCCCATCAAGAGACTTGAATTTAAAGGATGACATCTGGACGACTCGACTGTAGAATCTTTTCTACCGGTTAAAATCTTCTTCCTTACGATCCCATCTTCGTGAAGTCGAAAGAAGGGCAAGGGTGTCTAAGGAGAGTGAGAACGACAATCAAAGGGGTGAGGAAACGGGGAAGCGAGACTGGCACAGCAGTCTGGCCAGTCGATTACGGTGCCGAAACGAGCGTCGGAGCATTGCTCCAACCAGTTTTGGACAGTGTCTTCGCTTGTGGCTATAAAGAGAAGAGCGCCCTGGCAGGATCGTGAGGGAAGTATGCCGTCTACGCGACGGAGAAAGCGTGAAGCGAGGAGAACGGCCGCGATCGAGGAAGAGAACTGGAGGAGGAAGTATGTCCGAGCAGAGCTCGGAGAAGGATGGAGAGTGAAAAGAGCGGTGAGGGAAGCACAATTATCCATGAAGAAAAGAGAGAAAACAAGATGAAGCGGGAGGAGAGGGAGGAGGAGGAGGA